TGATTCTCATCCCAGCCACTTCACACTCGGCTGCAAACTGCCCCAGTGCACGCTGGAGGTCCTGGTTTGATGGAACCAACAGGACAACGTCGTCTGCAAAAAGCAGAGACGAGATCCTGTGGTCCTCAGACCGGACTCCCTCCGGCCCCTGGCTGCGCCTAGAAATTCTGTCCATAGAAATAATGAACAGAACCATGAAAACCAATATACTGTAACTTGATGGTTTTCTGAGTTCATGGTTCTGTGATAAAGTATAAAAATTCAGCAGAGTTTGTTATAATCCTCTTCTGAAATAATTGCGTTAATTATTTTCCTAACGATATGTATGTGTAACCTTTACGCAGTGAGTTTTGCCAAGTTTGCAGTGTAGAAGCAGATATCCCATATATTAGGTGCTATATGGTTGTATATTTTACGCCTGTGGCATACATTAAGGTTTTTCCCTTTGGTATTAAATCTTTTATAGTACTTAATTGGTAGACAGTCATGAGAAGATCACATCTTTTGCTCCTGTGAATGTGAAGCTTTAAACAGTGTGGTGATGCACTTTCTGTTGCTATTAGTGTAACCAATTTTACTGTTTTAAGTTTGAAATTGTACTATAATTTGTTGGCCTCATTATTTTGCGGAGCAGTTTTATAGACAAGTCTTAAATTGTAGTTTCTTAAAAATGAGCATATGTAAAGCAAAATGTAGGTGGGAATCTAGTGCAGAGTCTGCCTCTGGTGTGCTTGACTAGCAGAATGAAAGAGTTTACAGGTCTGGATTGTCTGCTGTATATTTTGATTCATCTAGTTTCAGGTTGCTGTTCTGTAAAATGTATATGTACAGTGGAATTTTGGAGATCAGATCTCCAGGATTGTGGCGTGCCGTCATATTTTTATCTGTTAGTCGATCTGCTCTCCACACAAACAGTGAAAATAAGCTTGGTGGTTCCACTATTTTACAAATGTGAAAAAGACCCAAATGTGTCAAAAGGTACTGTTTGTAACTTTTGGATGTATTGTAAAATCCTCTAATAACTAGCCACAAATGCATCTTCAGCGATTCATCAATACTGTACAATCCAGTTTACAAATGTGTAGAAACCAATCTGTGCATCTGATGAAGGCCACAAGTAGGCAAAACAACTGTACTGTTCTTTAAAATGTATTTACAGAGTGTTAGATACATGTGCACAGATCAGGTTACACTCTTGTGCAAGGTTTTAAGAATATTTTCTCACTCTCAGATCCACAAATCTGCTGCATTTAAGGATAGGTGGAAACTAATTCTGTGTTTGTGTAACGTACTTCATTCCCTCTTCAGCCCACAACCCAATACTGTATTCCTCAGCTCTTATTTTGATAAGTTATTTCATTATTTTTTGTACTTAGTATCTCTGACATGAAAGGGAAGATTAAAAATGCACCTTAAACATTAGCTTTAACTTTAGTGTTGCAGAGCTGCTGTACTGAGCTAATGCTGGTAGCTAGTAGGTTGGCAAGCCAGCGGCGCTGTTGCCACATATCCTAAACAGAACAGAGGAATTAACTTGTGGAACCTGGACTTTATTTGTAGATCAGCAAATGTGCATTTGTGGCCTTCAGAAGATGCACAAATCGGTTTTTACTGTACACATTTGTAATCTTAAGTGTATTTGTAATTTGCCACATTTGTGGCTTGTGGCTAGTTATGATTGGATTTCGCCGCTGTAGTCTGCAGTCCTTAAATACAGTGGAAAGTGAGAGTGTTGGTTGTCTTAAAGGATTTTGTGCAGGATTCAGGATGAAATATTTTTGTTCTCCTCTTTGACCAAAACCAGTTAGAGCCCATGACATGCTCATTTCGAGCCATTTAATGTTGGGTACCTCTACATTAACTTTGCACCCATAATAACTCCAAATAGTCTAATTATTTCAGAATGATAAAACTCAATCACAAGGGGAGCTGCCTCCTGAAACCAAGAGGATACTTTATGAACACCCACAGCTCCTGTTGCCTCCGTTTTTGACAAAGATAGACCTGGTCAGGTAAAACAGCGAGTCCCTGAACATTCCCGGACATGCAGTAACCTCAGGCCCTGTATTTTTCTCCACATCCTCTGGTCACAGTGCGGCAGCTGGAGGGAAAATGTATCCACAAAATCACGTGCAGTCAAAAAATTCCACTTTTAAAATGGCTCTGGTGGATGTCAGGCGAACTCACATGAATGTGCACAGCTAGGAGAATATGAAAATTCAAGGAAATCTGTAGAGTACTGTGCAGGACTTTAAATAGTTGGAAAAAGTCTCATCTGTGAAAGTTTGAGACGTGTATAAACCGAGACGTGTATAAACAGAGGAACAACAACATAGGTACACCTTGTTCTTTGAGCTTTCAGTCACGTTTAAGATGATAACTCACTGTTGTAACATTGTGGGTAAGGAAAACTTAGAAAAGCATGACATGGGCTCTTAAAGAAAGAACTACTCCAGTATGCTCAGGGGAGACAATCTTTTTTTTTAATCCAACATGTGTAATACAGGTTGACTGTATTAAAGTGTAATAAATGTTGGCTTTGAATTTACAAACAGAATAAGTAATTGTGTAGTGACAAAGTGAAATTTGACAGTTTGGATGCTAACCAGTTTGTTTGTGTCTTTCTCGGGGTCACACAGTCACTGGCCCTCATTGACTCATAGCAACACACTTGGAGTAAAACACCCTGTCACACAGATCCTGGCTAGCAACAACATACTGTCGCACCTCATAAAAATCTGTCTTTGTCTTCTGCAAACCTGCCAAATCATTGTAAACTTCATAGTAACATCATAGTAGCAACTTAACAGGCAAATGGAGCTGAGGCTGCCCATCGCTCAGTGGCAGCTACTGTACATCATTTGTAAACAGTTAAATAGTGCTTCTGGGTACAGTATACAGTCAGCTAGACCAAAGAATTAGGCTATATAAGTTATGTCAGTTCAGGATTTTGTCTTTTCAACGTGTCAAGAAAGACAAATTCAAAGAGTGTCGCATATAAAGCGCTCTTGTAAAGTAACTACACACTTGTCTCCTTAAGGTTTTAAGAAACTCGTGCCAGGCTTGGTCTGGGCTCAATTCAGCTCAAGCTAGTGTTGGATTTACATAGCAGAAAAAGCATCTGTTAATTTTCCACCCTGGCTGAATAAATCCATTGTAATGTGACCACAGACAGTTCCAAATAGACAATAGCAACAATTGCACAAAACGTAACCAACTCCTGCAGCATTACAGCACAAAGAGCCATCGAGTTGCATAATTAAAAAAATTAACAAACATGAGAAATGTTATAATTCAGTCAGTGCAAAAGGTTCAGAGAAGTCTCTGCTGCTCTGAGTCATGCAAGTAGTCAACGTAGACCAGTGGCTGAAAGACACAGCATGCAAAAGTGAAATTCTGAAGCAACCGGCTGATTTCATGTCATGTAACGAAAACAACAGGCAAGAACGTAACTGGTTTTCAATAAGCAGCCCTGCAGCTCAATGGCCAAGAATAGAGTATCATCAGCTCTGATCTACTATTTATTGTCCCATAAATAGAACAATAAGTGGGGACAGGCTGCTGAATGCCAACTTGCCCTTAGAAAAAGCTTATTTGTCCTTCATACACTGAAAATGTGAACCCTCATTAAGGAGTTCACTGGCTCACAGAAATCTAGACCAAAAATAAAAATTCACTTCACTGGTCACCAATTCGATCCAGTTTACCTCTCAAGGTGCCTAAAATCACAAAGTTTTAATCAAAGCCAGCTCAGTTCAGAGAGGTGAAGAAGGAAAAAAGGAATTAAGTTTTGTTCCAGAGCTGGAAATGCCTTTTCTCTTCATATCCTCTTAGTCTGTCTCTACAACCCCAGCTATCCCTTTGTCTCATTGTCTGATGTTCTTGCATTGTTGTGTGTGTTATATCTAACATCACCTGTTAATTTATAAAGGGGCTTCAAACTAAGTCTCTCAGTTGCCAGAGCTAGTATCTAGTGGTAAAACTGCACCATAAGGCACTTCTGACACACAGCCACAGTAGCTGTGGCTTCCTTCCTCCTACTCCCTCTCCTTTTCTTCTCACCTTCCTCCCTCCACTTCCTTTGTTATTCCTTCATGTTCGGGACAGTCCCTCTTCTGTGTAAAGCGGTACAGCAGAGTGGGTACATCCCTGAAGCTGTACTGACCTGTCACGTGATGCAACACTCCTCCGTGCTGGAGACGAATGCCATAGAGTTGGCCCTCGGCCCGTCCAGCACACAGGCCTCGCTCAACTAACCAGTCCACCAGGTCACTGCCCTGAAACACGCTTTCAAGATTGGACTGGGGATGTTGATGGAGAGGTGATGGATTTGATGGAAGATCACTGTCAAGAGCTTGACTAGCCTGGAGCTGGGAAAGCTGCCCCTCTGGAGCATCAGAGGTGGAAATATGTGCTTTGTGTTCATCCTCAGGTTCCAGCTGGGGTGGAAGCAAACACTGGGCAGAGGACTCTGCTGGATCGTGAGGTTGGTGATTCTGGGGCAGATTCTGTGGCTCCTGAAGTTCCTGATGTGGGTGTAGGTACTGGGGCTGATGGGAATGTCTCAAAACTCCATTCTCCTCCTCCAGTCCTCCTCCACCAAACCTGTCATTATCAGAGGAAGGATTCACCTGTCGAAGTGTTCATACTCTCCCCTGAGCCACTAGGGGGTGGTGGAGAAGGAAGGAGAGAGTGGGCAGGCAAAGAGAAGCAGGGAGGGGAAAAAAAGGAAATATGTAGAAAGGAGAGGATCAAGATTACTAAAGCAGGGAAAAGGAGAAGGAATAGTGTAAAAAAAAAAAAAGTGGTTGAAATTCAAAAGCACCCAAGCCCAGAAGTGAAGTGTTTTATCTAAACGAGTTGAGTTTTTGTTTGGTTTATAGTAAAGTGACTACATTTCAAATTAAACATCTGCTTGGAGGTTAACACTATTCCTCGTTTTTGTGAGTGTCATTTAGATCCCTTTACAATCTCATTAACCAACAGCAGAAACCAGTAAAGGATCTAAATGTGTGTCTATCCAGTAGTTGGATAGCTTGGTGGTTGACTACTGACTGTCGGGGTTCGATTCTGTGCCATGGCATGACAGATCATGGGAGTTAAGATAGACAGGGGAGGGAAGATGGAAAGGAGGTGAGGTCCTTCTTCTCTTTCACCTTACCTCCCACCTATTTCTCTACCTTCCCCTCGTCTATCTTCCCTCTCTTCCTTCCCATGATCTATCATGCCTTGACAGAGAATCGAACCCCGACCTGCCGAACCACAGTCAGTCTCCCATTGACTACCATTATAAATAAATGTTGAACATATTAAAAAGTATAAATGTTACAAAAATGAAAAATACAAGCACACATCCTTAAAAAGGTGGAACATTTTGATATTTGAATAGTTTTTCTAGTTATTAGGGGCCAAAAAACAGAAGAAATCAGAAAACAAAGAACAGGATAACATAGTGTGGATACTGCTGACTCAGCATCCACCCACAGCTGATTCTTCTTTGTAGGCACTTACACTCACTGGCCACTTCATTAGGTACACCTATACAAATGTATGCACTTCAATGCAACACTTCCACCTAGTTAAAGGTGGTGTTGTACTGGACTACACTATATTCAGGGGTGTTCCTAATATTCTGACCCTCTCATGCATGTAGCTGGGGAAGACAAAAATAAATAGACATCTCTAAATTTAGTCCAGTACAACACCACCTTTAACTATGACCTCAATATTAAAACATATATTTGAATTTATACATTTGACAATTTCACCAAATACATGTTGAGCTTCATAAACAGATGTTAAGGCCGAAGTGTTGCACTGAAGTGCGTAAAGTTGTACAGGGGTACCTAATAAAGTGGCCAGTATTTGCAAATATACACTTAAAGAAGTGTTTGGTAAACAAGGAGCTCCAGAAACTGCAGCAAAACAGATCAGCAGATACTGTAACATGCAAAGAGGATGTGAAAAAGGGAAAAACTAAAAGGCAAACAAGACCACAGCTGTAACAATGTTGAGATGAGCAGGGACACAGCTAAACCATCCGGTTCCAAAAGACAATGTACTGTATGACACATGCACAGACTAGTACTCATACCTGCGTGTGTGTACAATGTCTTGTACACACTGGTCTTTGTGGTAGCGCACAAACTGGGTACAGGTGAGCCTGACCTCCTCTGGTACACCAGGCGGACTCGAATCCTCGCTGTCCCTGCTCTGCCACAGGCCAAGCAACCTGTCAATCATTGTTCTGGTCATGTCTTTATGATTTGATTATCTGACTCATTTGAATGATAACGAATGTAGAAACTATGGTGAACAAACGTTTCATCTAAAAGTCTCAGTTCACCTCTTTTTAAAAGGCAGGATGATGAGGTGTCTGTCCAGGCCAAAGATCCCAAAGGACAGGAAACCCTGGGACAAACAGACATACTGTATTTACAGTAGTGGTTATAGTTGAACAGAGTATATTTGCATAACAGCTCATGTTTAGGCATCTACACACACACACACACCTGTCCATAATTTGCTATGGCACAGAAGAACTGTAGTTCAAGGTAAAGTCTTCCTGGATCTCTGTTGCACAGCCACCACAGACAGCTGGACAGATTCTACAGACAGATTCAGCAGTCAGACACAGTAACATGGAGCTAGTATCTGCTTTTGTCTATTTTACCAAATTACATTTCACACACACAGTATTTCAGCATTTGATTCTCACCGCTAACAAGAAGACAATCAGCAGCAGACACAGCACAACGTGTCTGACTGTCTGGTTATCATCGCTGGTTTGAAGCCCAGGCGGAGGCAGATTTAGAGGCTGCTCTGAGGAGGAAGAACTCTGCTGCTGCACATCGCACAGCGCCCCACTGTGGCCTGGAGGGGAAGGAAAATTACCACTGATCAATTCCAGGATGGTTAGAGTATTTCCTCACTTCCACATATTTTCATGCTGTTTTATATAATTGCATAGTTTATCACTTTGCATATTTTAAACATTTTTACTGATTTAAAGATGAAGGTGCCACATTTTGTGTAAAACACCATCTGTTTCATTGTACTGATTATTTCTGGCATCTTACTGTGGTTTCTGTGTTAACTTGTAGATCAAAACATGTTAATCTTTCATTAACATGAAACAGCATAAAAGAACTTTATTCTAGTAACTATTCAGGTTTTTGCAACTAAGCATTGAAATTTGCTCAAGCTAATATAAAAAGGTCTCTCATAGCTGTTCATGCAAATAAACTCTATAATAATTAATGGTTGGCAAGTGTTGTTACCTGTATTTGTCTGCTCCCTCTGTGTGCTGGTTGTGGTGTCAGGCATGGTCTGGACTGGAGGGAAACTGTGGAGATCTGACAACACAACAGAAACATTAGAGCTATTTTAATGTGAGTATTTAGGTGATGAAGCATTTCAACAGGCCATATTTATTCTCTAAAGCTCCATCAACAATTCAACACATTCTAATTTTTGTTTTATTCAGACAAACAGACACAAAGCTGCTCAATAACTGCAGAATGAACTACAACTCAAGACCAGTCAACCACCTACCCGAGTTGATTCTGCAGGCAGGCGAATTTGCCATCTGTGCCTGTTGTTGTTGTTGAGGGTCCTCCAAGCCACCAGGGGTCCTCAGCTCATCATTGATGATTGTGACAGCAGTTCTGCTCAAAGCCTGGTAGCCTCTCTGCTCAGCATTGCCCTGGCTGAGACCTATCAGAGATACCGCACCCAGCACCAGGCTGACTGCGACCACCACTGCTGTACTGATTATCTGGAATAGAAGAGAACAAAGTAAAACTTCCTGGACTACATTATTTTGGGTTTGGGGATAGATTTTTTTTAAAAAGCAGAAGGAAGAGAAGATAACACACATAAACAGCTCAGAGTGAAGTTTTTCTAACCTGAGCTCTGCCATAGAAAAAGGCAGAATCTATTGTATCAGTCCTCTCTCCTGATATAAGAAGACCTCCAACCATCAAGAAAGGAACCCTACACACAAACAGTATTCACACCAAGCAAATTCAAAACAAAATGTCATCGTCTAGACTCTTACAACCTCATTTCTATATCTTAAATGTGTTCTAGGGATTAATCATGTCCCATATTATTTCAGAATTTAACCTGACAGCGTAATGATTTAAACAAGGAAGATGTCAGAGAATGCCCTGGGTTGTTTGGGTGTGCTGACCCACCCCCAGCCCAAAACCACGAATACTCCTGGGCGGAGTCTCAGCAGATCGTCTCTGATAGTCAGAGCCAGACAAAGAGGGATTAAACCTGAAAAACAGAACAAAACACATGCATGCAAGCACCAGTGTGCACATTTTGAATACACTGTAGTTCATTTCAGTATTGTGCCAAATGTATTTTAATTGATAAGAACGAATGTGTCCTTAACCGCTCACAAAATATACTTACCTGTCCAAACGTAGGTACTGTACAGAGACCCATAGAGCACAGTGAAGGTGAAAATTTTGCCAAGAAGATTATCCTCTTGTTTCACCAAGAAGTTCCACAGGATCATACTGACACACACTAGGAACTGAAATAGAGCAGAAACGTGAATGAGACCTTCAGCTACTGTAGCATATTCCTTTTCCTCGTTTGTACATTCTTTTCCTTTTTGTTCTCTGTGTCTACTCTCTACTCGTTGCTTTACAGAAGAACATCGGTCATGCACAGTGAAAACCACTGTACCAGAATCAAATTCTTCATATGTCCAACACACACGGCCAATAAAGCTGTTTCTGATCTCCAATACATTAATAGAGGTTAAATACAATCAAACTGTCAAACCATGACAAAACCTCTGTAGTAAACCACATGCAGCAGGACATAAGTAAACTGTTGTAAGGTTTAAATTGCTTGACATGGGAGTGGAGACTGACCTGAGCCAGGAAAAGGTTTAAGGCAAAGAAGTGAGGAAGTTTGTTAAATTTCTTGCTGAGCAACATCACCGTTATGGTCCACACCTGAGAGAAGATACAGACACAGGATAATTTCTCACCGCATCTGGAAAATTCTCTTGAATGAGTAGTTATCTGTCCGGACACATATCAGTCCTGAAGCTCTACATACTGCAGTCTGAAAACTAGTTCTTACTCGTATTCTCATTTCACATCATGTTTCTTTTGACCAGAATTTTGGTATTCCTTCCTGTCAGTCTCGTGGACTTTTAAAATCATTGGTCTTACATCAAGATATGACTGCAAATATACTAACCAGTGCTACGAGGCTGACAATGCTAATGTTGAAGCTAATGTTTTCAAGCTCTGTCACCAGCGGGGCTGGGTCCATCAGAGGGATTGTCAATAACCAGGCTGACACGTACATGATTGGTGCAGACAGAAACGTGCTGATTACCATCCCTGATGTTACCTGTAGACAGAAAGGCAAAGATTTATAAAATCCAAAGCATGTCACTAACAGAGTGTGAATTTATAACCTGTCTACAAAACACAGGTTGAGGTATTTTGTGTTCTTGTCATACAATACATAGACTGTGAGAAACCTGGATCTGACATTAATTAAAAACTATACTAGTGTGGTTGAAAATGTCTCATCTAGTGACAAAAGAGAAACAATGAGTTTAACAAGGCTTGAAATTTAGTCCAGCATCTAATAAACAAAAATCAGGAGGCTCTGATAGCACCTCTCCACATTATGACAAGTTCTAGAGCAGATTTCTACAACAAAAATATTTAAAAAAAAGAGTTGCATACTATGGCTTTAAGATGAGTTTTTAAAGTAGGGTGTGAGTTTTTTTGCCACCGTTTTCATGCATTTCACAGAATGCTTGAACTCCGCCTAAACCTAAACTTCCATTTTGTTATAATGTTTCAAATATTATTTTTGTTCTTCACTACTGTAAACCAATTATTTAGAAAGTGGAATTTAAAGTAGGATCAACACAGCAATGGCACTTACCACCTCCAACTCCATGTTATAGTGTCCAGCGTAGATGGCCACACTAGGTGCAGTTGGGAAGACTCCATATAGGAAAGCAAAGTTGGACAAACTGGAGTGGTTGGCACTCGTGCTGTTGACTTCTGCATTCAGAATATCCACCATGTCTTTACAGACCAATGGCATCACCAGCCTGGAAAGAGGAGGAGGAGAGAAAACAACCAACTTCATCATTGACCAGTGGTGTAATTAGTTCTAGTGGAGGTGGTGCCATTGCAGTGGGCTGTAATATATTAAGAGGTATATAATATCCTGCCTCTTCATTATGTACTATAAGTATACTAAAACATACTTGAAACACTTAAACATAAATCAGGCCTCTGATATACTGTCACAGAAGTACACACACATAATCTCAGTTCCACTTACAGTTTAGCTGTGATCAGGAGTATCAAGGCCACTCCGGTGTTTCTGTTTAGTTTTTTAAGCTGGCCAACCTGCCACAGCAACAGAAAGGCCTACATTAAGCTAAATGTGCAGTAAGTAACTGTACTTAACCAAAATGAAAACTGTATATAAAAAAAACAACTGACTGAAACTAAACTCACCATGGTGAGGCCAAGGTAAAATAAGGCAGCTCCTCCAAATGAGTCAGCCAGACCATCTATGAACTCTGACAACACAGCAGGGATCCGCTGAGCCAAGGCAAAGTGGGAGATGATTCCCACGATCACCATGAACACTATTGGGTTCTTCAGTACCTGAAGACGTGACATAAAGAAGGTTGGATATAATAACGTTAAAATCCAGTGGGTAAGATCTTCAAGTTTGACTTAAAGTTTGCAAAAGTAAAAAACTATCATTGAAACCTCTTAGTATGTGTACGTTTGCTACACCTATGATTGTTATTCATTGTATATACACAGTACCTTTAAGACTACAACTCCCAAAATGCCCAGAGTGCTGTGCTGTTGATGGCTGGCCTGCCTCCACCTCTGCACCTCACAAAGAGCAAAGCCAATGGGATTGAGGAGCATGAGTGAGATCGGGGCAACTAGGTAGATGTACTGGAGGTATTCTGGGTATGTACTCTGATACAAAGCATCAACTAGAAATGGGAGACAAAAAAGAGAGACAACTATGCACACACTGTCTTAAATTCAGAGGTTTTTTTTTCCACTGACAACTTGTACAAGGAGTATACCTAAGTGGTTTGTGTCTGTCTCACCTATGGGGTATCCCAAAGCAAAGTCATTGCTCTGTGTAGCGAAGATAGCATACAGACCAGCCTTGCTGTATCTACTGTCTGGACTGGCTACCACCAATGTCAGGACACATACCAGCACAAACACTGTCACCTATACACAAGATGGGAGTCTGGAAGTCAGGTTGTGTTTATGTGTTATGTTCTTTAGGACAGTATAGTCTTATGTGACACTGAATGAAGTAAACAAACTAATCAAACCACCATGATGGAAAACAGAAAGGAAATACACATAAAAGTGTAAACACACAGAGAGATGCATAAAAACAGACACACACCAACCTTAGCAACCAGGACACTCCAGAGAAACGCCCAGATGACATTTCCAAAGTCTAACAGCACCATGTTTTTAAACAGAAGAGCAGGGAGAGCAAACTTGGACACAAAGTTCCTCAAACCCTTGGCTTGACTCTCTGTGATGATATCTGTCCTGTTAGTAGAAACGGAAGAAATTAAACAGACATAAAAACCACAGTGGTTGCTCACTTGTCATTTTCATTATTTTCATTGGGTATCACTTAATTTCCCACATACAGCAGAACATTAACATGCTGGCTGTATAACTGAAGGAGACAAAATGGTCATCTACATTTATCATTTGGTTAGGGACTTCCATTTATTTTCCAACCTATGAGTAAGGCCATTTCTGGAGGTAAATTAATACTTCACCAAAAGATTCACATCACTATTTTTGCACACACCTACCTGCCAGCTATGTACCCACACAATATAATGCCAAAGCACTCAAGGAGAGCCGGGAACAGCTTGTCAATGGACATGTGAGGCCCCGCAGCAGAACCAGCTGGGATATTATGGGATATGTTCTTCCCATGGATCAGCACATAGTTTTTGGTGGTCTCCATGGTGATGATGGGATGGGGGGTCCTGGGGTTCAGGTGATGTGTGCGAAATATCTAGAGTAAGACAAGGAGCCAGGAGTGGGTGAAAACAAGTAAAGCTGAAATATACAGAATGAGATTAAACAACTGGCTCAAGTCGCACGGTCTTGTCTCGTGGGAGGGAACTCAAAAGAAACTGAGGCTGTCATTCAGAATCTGTAGTTCTGGATATGAACATACCGTTAGCTAGCTTAGCACAGTCAAGTGAACCCGCCTCATCCAATGACAGGAGATTTCTATAATCTTACAGCATTGTAGCAAATTATAACTTATGTTGTGCGACGATAATCATCTTAAAACATTGCAATTTACTTGCCAGCACCGTTGTCACTGCCAGATAACAGTTACCATTTGCTAAGGCTAGGTGTATGCTAAAAACATCAGTGAAAATGCAGCGTTTGTTAGATCACACGACGTGATAAACTATGTCTTCCTCTTTAAAACGGCTTGTTTGTTACCTTTGTTGCTTAGAAGATCATATCTGCTCGAGCCTCATCTACATTGATACACAACAGGCCCATCTGTGAGCCCTGAGAAGCTCCGCTCCTGAATCTGACAGGTCTGAGTAATGACTGACATATGATTTAACCAATCTCCGTCGAGATACGCTTTCCACTCCAACAGTGATTGGATGAAAACGTAACAGGGGTTACCGCATCCATGTGATAATGATAATGAATATTACCTGGACTTTAGAGCTCATTATGTCTTTTATAGCAGCAACGTCACTTATAAACGATCACATACTGACAATTAAAGACAAATTGGTGGATCTACGGAAGTATGCACACCTTGCATCACTTAAGGTTCTGTTATACAAAGTAGATCTTCATTGTTCAATTTCATATGTTTTGTTGTTGACAGCTCATTGCTGTCCATTTACATTTACAATAAATAATAGACCATTGTGTATAAATACATTTTTTAAGAAAGATGCTGAATTTTCCAAATTAGAATTTTAGGGGATTAGCAGGCAAACACTTCCATGCCTAGGTAATTTCCACCAGATTCACTTTAACTTAATACTAATGAAATATTAATGGATAGCACCCTACACAGCACAGTGTATCTACTTTAGTAGGCCCACAGGTGCACACTGGTACATTGGAGTCTGTGAGAATATTTTGATTTTCATTACTTTGTGGGTTATTCATGTCAAAATTAAACTGCTAATTCTAGGGCAGTCTAGTGAAAACCTACAGCAGCTGTTAAAGGAAGGATATCTGTCTACACCACTACTCCGGTGAGTCAGGAGAACAACATTAAAGACAGTGACTTCTATATGTTTGCAAATGAGAATTTAAATGTGGTATGTCAATGAAAAATGATAGTCAGGTGGTGGCATTACCACTGCAGCTAGTTCATCTGCACAAAGGGCTATTAAAAAAAACCTACTGACGTTTTAGAGAACGCTGTAGGTGAGGTCCCTCCCATGGGAGCAGCAGCAGCCACCAGGCTACTGAAAAGTGCTAATGCTGCTGGGCGACCATGACAAAATCAAACTTTCATCTTAATATCTTGAAAGAGCTAATGTCATAATATGTTTGGAATGATCGGTGCCTGGAGTAGAGAAAAATCAAGAAATGAGATTGTTGACTAGCCCAAGTTGTAAAAATAACTTTTAAGATATAACACAATTCCAGAACATGTCTTGTACATTACAACAAACACGTTTGGATTAATTTATTGCCCAATTTTATTGCACAAACATAAACAATGCATGTTGTTTATCTGATAATACAAGGCACCTCATCTGTATGGTGATATGATGATTGTCCTTTGTGAAGAAATATCAAATTACTTACAATGTACAGTTAATAAAAAAAAATTAAAAAAAACAGGGGGAGCACCTAAAGCAACTTAAAGCACTTTGTTGGTGTAAATAGTTTTGCTTCTGTATGATTGTCTTTAAGACAATGTTTCCATGACCAGCACACCATGTTTACAAAACCATTCATAGCTGTGCTGGGTGAAGCAAAAACATAATACTGCAGTTCTGAAACATAACTTAAAATAATACAGTCCTCCAAAACCACGTGATTGAATCATACATAGATCCTTCATTGTAAGTTGTAAGGCATTGTAAGGCAGCTTTTATCTGTCATAGGTTGTAAGGCATTGTAAGGCAGCTTTTAACAAAATTGCTAAATTGCGTCATAAACCCATACAATGTCCTTTACATCACAATCATAAACAATGCATGCATGCTAACATCACATTTAACAATCAGATGAAAAGTACCGTTTAGTGGTTCCAACAGAAACGCACAGATGTAAATACACATACTCTGAAGGCACATGTGGCTGATCTTTTATGCCGTGCTGGCGGAAGGTTGTGGCCATTTTTAGTTTGGGGTCTATGTCTGAGTATGTACTGATGATGTCTATACTCAATATTTTAGATGATGTTGGAACGAAGCTGCATTATTGCTTCCGTTTTTACCTTTACATCAGCAGAGGTGATCTAATCCAGCTGAAAGATACACACATAAATTAAGGCACGAAAGGCTGATTCCCTTAATTATTTTAAAGCAGCAGTACAGTCAGAAAAAAAAAAAAAAGAGAGAAAGAGCTTTTCAAATGGCCAGCCCTGGTATAAGCCCTGGTATAAGCCCTGGTATAAGCCCTGGTATAAGCCCTGTACTGCTGCTGCCTGACTGAAAACCACAGGACATCAATGTTGACAATACTACCGCCATAAGACACTGATTTTCCTTTACCTATTGCTAACTGTGCAGTGTAAACAGGCTTAGAAAGTCACATCTGCTCTCTGCCAAATGCTACTTTGTCAAGTCAGAGTGTGTAATAGTGCAGCTGGTTGATCAAACAACATCTAGCAAGCAAAGTATGGAATCTATCAACCATAGGCAAACCATAAAAAAAGTTTGTTAATAATAAAGTCAATGTGGATCACTGACAAAGCTTAAAGAGCATTTTCCAGCCACAGCGTGACCATCAACCTGAAAAACAAAATTTTTTTAGTGCCTAAAGAGGTACAAGTTTATTTTCTTTTCATATGAGCACAGTGTACCGGAGTAGAAACAGACTTTGGTCTTTGAATATTGCAATACTACTGCTACAGAGGCACATGGTGTAAACTTGGTCATCCATACTTCAGGTCCATTGTACATGTTGCCGTCCATACAACGAAAGCAGTTCAAAGCACAACAAAGACAGAGAGAGAGAGACAAGTAGGAAAATAGATGGTGTAGCTCCAGGTGCTGTGATGGCTGCTACCTCTTCTTCACCTGGGTATAGGAGGAAGAGGAGGCGCTCCTCTCTCCTTTTTACCACTACCTGGAAAGAGGCAAATACACAGCAGAGTTAGTCTCTTCATTAGTTTTCTAGAGCATAGTTTATTTTCTTCCAGCAGGTGGCACTGTGTCGTTGTGTAGCTGGGCTACAGCTGTATTTGCCTAAGAAGGTAGATTTGTTTATTTGTCTGTGCATATCTCAGAAACAAATGAATATATGTAAAAAGGTTGATAATGATGAGGAATGTGACAAGAAGTGATTGAAATGTACTAAAATCAAATGTGGCAGAGTGTTAGTGTTTGCTCTAATAAGCACCATCTTTGAAATAAATCTTCTTTAACCCGTTTTTTGCAGTTTACTTCTGGACATTTCTCAAACAGGCAGAATATGCACCTTTCATACCTAAAAAACTACTTCTCAATAATTATTTCTCTGCAGGTATTGCTGGGTTGTTACAGACTTGGAAAAATCTTTTATGAAAGCTTCACAAAAATCACTGGGTTTTTGCATGAAGGTCAAGCTGAAATCAGGGCTTTTCTTAGTCCCTGAAAAACACTTGTACCCAATAATGGCATGAGAATTTGATGTTTACAAGTCGTATGCGCATGTCTTTGTCTGACCTCTGCCGTCAGTCTTGGCAATCTTGCTGGGGTATGTCTTCTGGAACGGCACGTAGTGCTCAGGAGGCGGAAGGTCTGACACTGGATGGAAAGTGAAACGACACTCCCACTCATCTGTTAATGGAGAGAAACAGAGACCAGTGGTCAATCAGTCTGATGGGAGACAGAATTACCATGACACAGATGCATCATGAGCACTCATATAGCTACAGACGGAGTCAGTCACAGACAGAGTCATGTAGAACATGAACGGAGGGGAATGGATTTGCCTTAATGGAAAACCAACAAAAGGTCAATGGGTATCTCTGTCATAGCTGAACACAGAGAAGTCACGTGATAAAAACAACAGTGAGGGAAATGGGTTTCTCTTGCAGAAAGAGTACAGTCTTTGAAAAAGACAATTAGTCCTCTGCTAGATATAGTTGGCTTAATCTGCCACACACACAGATTTAAATATTACACTCTGTTTCGCTAAATTAAGTGGTTTCTATTGCCCTTAAGTCTCCTATATTTACATTTATACCATTCTCCCCCTTGTTGTTTTTCTATCTTACTCTCTACTAGTGACATAGTATTTCCAGTTGTTGTTTTTGTCCCATCGGCTGTATCCTGTTTCGTTTCTGCACTTCTATTTTCCTCAAAAATTAGCTTTTAACAATATTCAAATAAACCCCATTAACACCTCCAGGGATCTACTCACCCTGTATCTGGTTGTGGTGACAATTTTGCAAGCCATTGCCCATGGGTGGCGGAGGAGGAGGGGCTCCTCCAGTCCCTGGTCTCTCTGGAGGGAGGGGAGGTCTTCCACCGGGTCCACCACGAGGGGCCTCTGGGCCTGGCCGACCAATAGGAGAAGAAGCCGGTGATGGCTTCACACTGCCCCCAACCATGCTACGACCTGAGGGAGGAGGGGGAGGAAGAGGCCCTTTGGAGGCAGAAATAAAAACTGATTATCTGGTGAACAGTGACTATTGAGATGAATGGGATTTTGGAACAGGCGGACACACTATATCTTCACAATATTCAATACATTGATCAAGTCTGTTCACCTGTGCGTACTGAAGGCTGGTTCCTTCCAAGAGAAGGTGGTCTCTCGTTTGGTGGAGGAGGAAGGGGCCCTGTCCGGCCGTGTGACACAGTTGGACCATAGCTGCCAAAATACAAAAACAAAACACACTTTTAATAAATGTATCCATTTTATAATATTTGTAGAAAAGAAAATTCATCTTAAAAAGATGAAGCAGTTAAGTCAATCAGAATTTAGAAAATACAAATTATTGTGCAAAACACTGAACTTTGAGAAACACACTGTTTGCGTATCTAAAACTGAATATACAGAATAAAATACAAGGTGGGTGATACATCACCTGTCTGAACAGCTACAGTCAAAACATACTGCACATACATAATGTCCAGTTTAAGCTTTTGAAAAGAAAAGAAACACTAACGTTTGTATGACGTGTGAGCTACTATTAGATTTGAATTTATGCAATTTGACACATCCGCCAAAGTAGATTTAACTATCAGGAGCATTAGCTCAGAATTTGACATCTGATGCCATGTACAAACCTTGGTCCAGTGCTACTCATCCATGAACCTGTACATACAGATTTCAGGCTAACAGATCAAACTTTCCCTGTACCTGCTGAGTGAGCTGTTCCTCTGGGGGAGACGAGGAGTGCTTTGGTCATCGCCACCAGCTGGAGTTGGTGGTAGAGGAGGGGGGCCCGGTCGCCCCGGTGGGAGAGGAGGCGCACCCCCACCCACCGAGGAACGAGAGGATGAGGAGGGCGAGTCAGAAGAAGAAGGTTTTGAGTTGATAGAGGGAGGGGGAGGAGGGGGTATGTCACGGGGCATGGATGGTCGATGACCTCCCACGGGAGCTGGTGGGGGTGGGGGTCGGTCATCAGGAAGTGGGGGTCTCCCTCCAGGTGCTGGCGGTAAGGGAGGTCGGCTGCTGTTTGGAGGTGGTGCAGAGAAGCTCGGTCTTGGGCCAGCTGAGGAGCCTCCTGGTGGCGGAGGGAGAGGTCCGTGCCTTCCTGGTGGAACACTGGGAGGTGGAGGTCCTGAAGCAGGACTGGGCCTGGGTCCACCAGGGAGCGATGGTGGAGGTGGACCCCCACGTGATGGCAAGGCCTGGGCTGGTCGAGGTGTATTGGGTACGGGTGGAGGGGGGCCTCCTGCAGTGTCCTGTCTAAACATGAGCGGCCCTGGGGAAGATCAGGGACCCCGCTGCGGACACCAGCAGGGGCTCCTGGGAGTTTAGGCGTGCTACCGAAGCTGCCACCAGCAGGGGCTCCTGGGAGTTTAGGCGTGCCACCGAAGCTGCCACCACCAAAGGGGCTGGGGCCACTAGAGCGGCCTCCTGTGGGGAGTGCAGGTCCTCGACTGGGTCCTGAGTCTGGAGACGTGAGAAGACAAAGGTAACTATGTTAGAGGTGTTACTGGACGCAGTTCTTTCTGTGTTGGCCATTATCACTTATTTATTTTTTACCGTTGGCGTCTCTGTTTGCTGCAGACCTCAGTTTTGGCATCCCTCCTGCAAACAGGCCTCCTAAACCACCAGATGCCCCTCCACCACCAAAACCTCCACCACCACCACCACCTCCTCCTCCTCCTCCACCACCTCCACCTCCACCTCCTCCTCCTCCTCCACCTCCACCTCCTTTAGGCTCTGAGAAAATAAACAAAATATAATAATTGCTCATTTATAGGATAATTTCACTACATATGGTGTACGTGCCAGTCAAACATTTGCCTGATATTGTGTGTTTTGTGTGTGTTACAGTGAGTTCATGTTGCTTTATTTCCCCACTCTTGTTTTAAAGTTATCACTGTGACTAAATTAGTGAGACTAACCAGGCTACAAACTAACTTTCACCTTCGGGGGTAGTAAATATAGACTTAATGAGTGCTGTTACATAGGTCTTGACTCACTGTCCAATATGGGCCCGCTGCGGTCATTGGTAACAGCTTTCTTTAATCTGGCCCCTTTTGAAATGTCAGACAACAGAGCGCTCCTTCCATGCTGCTCAGAACGGCTTAGATTTGGCTTCTCTGTGTTGGCCTGAAACACAAACAGCATGCAGGGATATACACTGAGACGGAGTACAGCTGCAGAAAACAGAACAACCTAATGAATTTATTGAACTTTGTGTGATATACTCATTTAAACCAAAACAGAATGATGACAGAGTGTACAGGTAAACCTATAACTCCAACTATAAAGACAGAATGACTTACTACACCAAAGGTGGGAGGAGGGGGAGGCCCAGGAGGTGGTGGGGGAGGTGGGCCTGGCATCTTCGTCTGTTCACGTTACTCTATTTCTACCGGACGGTGCACCCTGAAGAACAGATCACACACACATTTAACTAAATAGAACAACTTTTAAAAAAAAAGTGTTCCCCAAACTAGTAACTGAAGTGCTTGAGGCAAAAGCCAGGGGGTCCTAGTAGACTGAAAATCAATTCCATTTAAAGACTTCATTCAGAAGTCAGCCCTGTGATAGACTGTCCAGGGTGGACCCCGCCTCTTGTGCAGTGGCAGCTGGGATTGGCTCCAGCCCCCCATGACCCTCTTCAGGATAACGGTATAGAAAACGGATGGATGGACTTCATTCTGAATATGTAGTGAGAGCCGTCTGATTTGTCACTGCTGTCTCTTGGCCAGTACAGTACAGACAGACAAAAAAGTTCTCAGATGGACGTTTCTCAAGACAAACCCTTGTGCTCCAGAGACGAGCGGTGGTTGTCGTGCTTTAGTACGGAACTCATATTTAGCTCATAGCATGAAATATGTGCGCTACTAACTATTTGAGGCAAGCGGTAACCACCACAGCTGAAGGCTGAAACCAAGACTAAAGCTACATTTTATGTAAAGGCAACAAGATGCTGTTGATACTGTTGACGTGAATAGAAAACCCCCGTTATTCTTACTACTTTCTAGAAATACAAAGTCAAAACCTTTTTGTCTACCACACCTCAGTTCCACCCAGGTTTAATCCTGTTCAACAAATTCGACCTTTCTATTTCCTGTAATGGCCAAGTCAGTCCAGATACAGCAAACATATCCTGAACAGAAAAGATTTAAGTACTTAAAAATATGTCTGGAAAAACGCAGATCAGCTGAGACTGAGCTCATAGGCAGTGACAGCCCTACAATAAATGTTTCATCTAGCAGGAACTTAAAACATGCTGTATTTTTACGAGGCCAGATACCATTTTCTTACCAACCATCACACGTGCACTGGTGTGATGTGCAGAGCAGGAAACACTTGGTTTCTGTTCTGTGTTAAAGAAGTGGGAATTTGATGCTTTTCTTAAAATTGTTAAGTAAACTATTTAAATACACTGGACTTGCAATGCAAGGACGCAACGGGGGATGCCTAACGGATGCTGCAGATTCATCTTATTTCCAATAACTATTAATATTCTTCTTAGCATTTTTGCTGCCACTGACATTGCCAGTGATGATAAAGAAACAAAGTCAGTCTGATAATAGTGCAGTTGTTGGCATGATAAAACATTC